GGTTATCACCATTATGTATGATAGATATTGACGTATGGGCTTGTCATAATTGGCCTTTATTATGTTGAAGTTAGGTTTCCTTTCATTCTTGGTTTTTGAGAATTTTTTTTTTTGGTTGCATAATCGATGAAGAAGGGTGTTGAAGGTTTGTGAAATTCTTAATTGTACCTTCACTTTGAAAGATGGTTTTGCCTAATACAGGATTCTTGGTTGACAGGTTTCTTTTATTTTAGCATTTTGAATATATTATCAGCCTAATGCCTTCTGACATCCAAAGTTTCCAGTAAAAAAATCTGCTTATAATCTTATTAAGAATCCCTTGAATATGGTGAGTTGCTTCTCTCTTGCTGCTTTCAAGATTCTCTCATCTTTGGCTTTTTGTTTGATTAGAATGTATCTCAATATGGGTCTCTTTGAGTTCATTCTAGTTGAAATTTGTTGAGCCTCTTTGATGTTTATAGTCATGCCTTTCACCAAATTTGGGAAGTTTTTGGTCATTATTTCTTATTCTCTCTGCCTCTTTCTCTCTCTTCTCCTTCTGAGACTCTCTCAATGCATATGTTGGTGTGCTTGATGGTGTCCCACATGTTCCTTAGGCTCTGTTCATTTTTCTTGATTTTTTTTAAAAAAGTTCCTCAAACTCAGTAATTTTCATTGCCCTGTCTTCAATGGCACTGATTCTTTTTGCTATCTGCTCAAATATGTCTTTGAATCCTGCTAGTGGATTTTTTATTTCCATTGTTGTACTTTTCAGCTCTAGATTTTCCATTGGTTTACTCTTTGGTTTTCTATTTATTTACTGATAATTTCTTTTGTCTATTCCTCATTTTCTTGACTTTCTCTACATCATCCTTTAATTCTTTGAGCATATTTAAGGAAGTAATTTTAAAGTCTTTGTCTAATAGGTTACCATCTGGTCTTTCTCAAGAAGAGTTTTTGTTGGTGTATTAATTTACTTTTTGAATGGGCCATACTTTCCCGTTACTTTATATGTCTTGTGATTTTTTTTGTTGAAAACTGAATATCTGAATCTAATATTGTGATAACTCTGGTAATCAGATTCTTCCCCACTTGAGGAACTGCTGTTTTTGTTTTGTTTAATTTTTTATTGTTGTAGGCTATCTATCTTCAGAGTTAGCCTAAGGAATAAACTTAAGGTCTTCTCAGGTTTTTTCTGAGCCTGTGACTTCCTTACGTATGCTTGCTGACTTTTTAATTTTCGTCGCATATGTGGTTGCTTGAATGTCCTAGTCTTTAATGTCTGGAGCTTAAAAGGAAAAAAGAAAAACATATATGATGTGGGATGTAGGGAAGGAGCTGACTTTTTAAATACACTGGAAGCTACTTCAGCGCAAGAAGAAATGACTTACAACAATAAGGGGTGTTGTGTGTGTGTGTGTGTGTGTGTGTGTGCAACAATAGCTGCTGGCCAATGTGTCTGCACTTCTGTGATGAGAAGCAGCAATCATTAATCAAAACACAGATCCATAACATTTGGAAAACTTGGTTCTTACTTCCCATCCTACTTCCTGCAAGATGACTGCAAGCTGCTCCAGGGACATGTGCACAGCTGTCTCCTATAAGGGTTGTGGGTGGGTGTGAGTATCTGCAACTGGATTAAGAGCTGAAATTGACCAAAATTAACTGCAACTTACCATCCAAGACTTCCCCTGAATATTGCAAGGATTCAATAGATTTCAGAGTTTCAAAATAGATGCATTAGACAGATTCTGCCTGTGCATTTTTTGTCTAGGTAGGAAGACATATTCCTGCTCATCCTACTCTGCTATCTTCCAGAATCCTCTTCAGATTCACTTTATGACATTTTCTGACTGAAGTTACCACTTGGACACTTACGACTTCCAGGTCTATATTCAAGACAGGATAGCTCTCTTGAATTTCAGATTCTTATATCTATTTCTTACTTGGTTTTATGATGTTAAGCTCTGTGCCTCAATTTCTTTATCTGTAAACAGAAATCCAAATCCTCCCATCAGATTATTTTGATGACAAATGATTTAAAGCTTGCAAAGTGCCTGGCACCATCATTAGTGCTTAATAAATATTTGTTTACCAAGAATTGTCCTAACATATGCTTATACATCTTCTCTATTTAAGTTTCCTCAAACCCAAAGTGAGAGTCTAACTCTATGTTCTTATAGAAAAATAAATGCTTATAGTCAGGGAACTAGTCCACCTCTTCTGGCCTCTCCATATCGTGGTGTTATGTATAGGATAAGTATGCAGAAAATGAAAACCTTTGAACTTATTTTTAAAGAGAGAATCACAAGCAGAATTATGTTAACGGCAACATATACTTCGGCAGATTTTGTCTTACTATTAAATGTAAGCATGTGATTTGTAAATTTCAGTCTATGTACAGGAAATCTCAATAATCTGGAAAGGTGCTTTGTAACTTCTACAAGAGGTGGGAAAAACATACAGATGACACATACACAGACATGCACATTCACACACACAGTACCTTGGAAAACTCATTATCACTTTTGTGTATTTTATAAGCTGAAATCCCTTGGATATTTTATTTGAATGAAAAATTTTACTGGTGGGAAAAAGAAAAGTTTGGAAACCATGGCAATAAAATTTGAATCTACTCATGTACAAGACTATTGTCACTTTTCTGAAATGAATATGATGGAATTATTTGCACTGAATTCTGGAGAGATATTCAAAATATTTTGAGAGAGAGAGAGAAAGAGAGATCACATACACATAACTTTCATTTATAGTATATTGTTATAACTGTTCTGTTTTATTAGTTATGGTGCCTAATTTAAAAATTAAACTTTATTGTAGGTATATATGTATAGAAAAAAAACATAGTACATATAGGATTTGGTACTATCTGTGGTTTCAGTCACCCACTGGGGGTCTTGGAATGTAACCCTGTGGATAAGGGGGAACTACTGTATATACTCCTCTCTTGCAATGCACTAAGACAGAGCAGGTATAAAACGTGAGTACTTGGGCCAGCTGGCTGTGGACAATTTCACTACATGTAAAACTACTGTAGGTTTCTGAGATACACCTACTTAACTATAGCTATGATAAAGAAAGATTTAATATTTAGTAATGGTACATACTTGTTATCTCCTACCTAGGGAAATTCATAGATATCCCTCTTTACCTTGAATTATTATGAAAGATTTTATTATTTATATCAGAACAAAACAATAATGCAAATTTCCCATTTCCTTCACTCAATTATGACTAAGAATATATCATAAGCACAATGAATACATCATTATATCACCTTCTAAATCTAAAAAAAGTTTATTTAACTAGCATAACCATATTGAATAAAATCAGCTTGGGAGCAAATTAGTTGCTTGCTAAATCATGGAAAACAACAACATCTTTTTGAACAATATATCCAACAGAATGTTGTAGAGTTCAATGCAAACTTCAGTCCAGGTCAACGCCTCTTGGCTTATGCTCTCTCATAAACTCTGGTGGAAGTGACGCCTTTCATGATGCATTCCTAGACACAGAAAACAATTCTTGGTCAATCACCGGGACTAAACTATGGATTTATTTATTGTATCTCTCAATGTTGGGAATAAAACAATATTCCTTCAAAAGATATTCATTTCTGGACTCCTATGTATGTACCCATATGTTGTAATAAGATAGGGAGTTACAAAGACCAGGAAAATACAAGTTTTCCCCTCCAGGTGCCTTAAATTCTGTATGGTGAGTGAGAAACATAAGCAGAGATAGATAATACAGTGTGGTGGGGGCATCACTGGAGACAGCCTTAGGATGCCTGGAAGCAGGCAGAGAATGCTTCCTAGAAGACAGCATGCCCTTGTTGAGCTCAAAAGCATGAAGGGCAAATGACAGAGTGGAAGCATAATTCCAATAAAATCATCTTTCTGTTTTAGATAATCAAAAGGAAAATCTGTTTCCTTAAGTGGAATAGTGATCATGAGATGACCTAGCAGTAAGATCCAGATTTAAGTAGCCAGAAGATACTCACGATCACCAGTTTGTCATCCTCTCGTTTTCTCTTTATGGTGGTTGATTTTCCATCCCATTTCTGCACATGTACCAGGACACCCCCATCTAAGGTTATGGTGCTCTGTAGGCATAAGAAAATGTGATTACAATTTGCATATGGAGGCAGAAAATAAAATTTAAAATACGGTGTCTTTGTTCAAAGGAATATTTTGAGGTAATTAGTAATTCTAAATGACAAGAATATATTGCAACAAGAAAAAAAAATGAGTCTCAAAACCAACAACGTAACCACTTATAGATACGTTATGCCCAGAGTGTTATACAAATTACATAATTGGAAAAATACTGTGAAGGAATATAAAAAAGAAATTTACATTGAGATGATAGTAGTATGGGTGGTTTCTCTATTTCTTTCTTCCATTTTTCTAAACATTCTCTTACATTATTGTAATATTTTAATTTACTTGAAATACTCTATGTATTGTATGACTCAAATAAATTATGTTAATCATTTTTTGTTAATATGGAGACAGGCCAGGTGTGGTGGCTCACAACTGTAATTTCAGCACTTAGGGAGGCCAAGGCAGGAGGATTGCTTGAGGCCAGGAGTTTGAGACCAGCCTGGGCAACATAGTAAAATTCTGTCTCTACAAAAAAAATAAAAAATTAGCTGGGTGTGATGGCACACAGCTGTGTTACCAGCTACTCCGGAGCTGCGATTGAAAACCACCGAGCCCAGGAATGCAAGGCTGTAGTGGATATTGATTGAGCCTGAACTGCAGCCTGGTTGACAGAGTGAGACCCTGTCTCTAAAATAATAATAATTTTTTAACATGAGGGCAACTTAAGAAAATGGGAAAAATTCACAACTCTATATGTAAGAAACACGTTTAGATGTAGGAGTTCAGGGATCTTTGGCTTAAGATAAATGGTTTTCCTCCTTTTATCATAAATGATTTCTAATAAGCAGTGGTATTTAGAAACCAGGCATGTACTCCTGTGCCAGTTCCCTTATTTTCACCCTTGACTGGTTCCTGGGTCATCTGCGGTGATTCGTAAATTACTGAGCCAGTTTGAAGGAAATCTAGTATTAAAAACTTTCGAATAAATGTGATAAATCAACATTATTCACACTGATGAATAATAAGGTTTGGCCATAGCCTAGCACTTCTTCATGTGGGCCAAAGCCCACTCCTACATTGAAGAGAAAAGATTCAATTGACATTTCCCTGTCACCGTACTAGCCAAACCAGACAATGTGTTCTGCCCCCAGTGCATTTGTATAGAGGAAAAAGACACAGTAGTTTATTAAAGGAATAATTTAACGCGCTGCAGATAAAACAGGTTAATACATAAACACACACACACAACAACACACACACACACACACACACACAACACAACAAACCTCTGAGAAACAGTAGGTGTAGGCCTTTCTTTAAATTATCACTTTCTCTGGTCTGGCATACACTTCTCAGGAGACCATTTTTAATTTTAACAAAAATCTTTGGGAAGATATATATTTAAAATGTTAGCCACTATTGTTTTTCTCTCTTAATAAAATAGTTGACCATTCCATCTTAGATACTCAATATAACATTTAAGAAGGCACAAAGACAGAATTTTCAACAGAATTTTGGGGGTTAATGTAGAGTTATTTAGTTAAATGTTTGTCAGTTTTGAGTGTACAAAAGTCACATTTCATAGCATTTGTTGCCAAGTCTACTTTTCTGTGCTTCTTTCTCAAATTACTCCACCATGAGATGAAGATTTTGATGAATTTATACAAAAGGCAAAATGTTTCCTACATTTATAACATTTTAGAATGGTGATATCATTCCTAATAATTTATAGGGGATATTTAAAAAGGGACTAGTCATCAAATTGTGAAAACTTTAACATTTAAGAAATCAATGTTTCTTAGTTTAGAATAGGTTAGAAGCCAATACTTAGATTTCCAATCACTTAAGTTGTGAACTTTTCTTTCTTAAAAAGGAGAATATATTGTCTTGTGCAAGGTATGGAATGAATAATTTACAGCCAAACATAGCAGTAACTTGCTGTCACTGTGTATGTCATGCAGAATTTATTAGTCATAGATGTGTTGAATTTTTTAAACATGTGCATGTAAATCTAAACTCTTTCTTTGACTAAAGGCAACCAAAGGTTAGAAATTGGGAAGAACTGGGAGAGACACATGGTGCAAAATAAGTAATTCTGAGGCTCTGATTTCACTGTCTATCTGAAAAATGGCCACAGGTGTGTCTTCAAGTCCTGGCTCTGTTACAAAATATAACATTAAATGTATGGAGTGAGTCCGCTTCGTGAATGGAGGCAAAACTGAGTGTGATTCTAGAATGGCTGACCTTGGGAAAAACCATAGTCTCCATTTGCTTGATTTTGCTTTTATGTGACTGATGAAAACAATACCTGTTCACTCATCCTCAATTTCATACAGAAGGTGTTTTATTGACTTTAATTATCATCAGTCCTTTATAATTTAAAAACACAGTGTTATTAGAAAATATAAATATTAAAAGTATAAAAGTTTTCTAAAAATAAATAGTTAAATGACCCCAAATCCTGGCATTTCTGTATCAGTGCATATTAATTAGTTCATTGAATCACTCTAGTTTATCCTAGAAAGTCTCTCTCATGCTAAAGTCACCAATTTTCCTGTCATCTAAAAACAAGAAACATAGTTACAGACAAGCAAAAAAGTATATACTGTATAATTTACAGGAGGGTTAAGTGTTTTGAGATTTAATATTTACGTTCTAAACCCTAAGATTGCATAAAATTCCTCCCCAGTTTGCTAACCCCAGTTCTGACTTTCATGGACTGTCATGCATGGGGTTGAGGGAGAAAGGCTTTCAAAGTAGAAGCTGCCTGAGAGAGACGTTGTCTCTTCTACTTTACCTCCATTGTTATCTGAGAGACGTTCATCCAATGACATGCTGACAATGTTAATAGCATCTAAAAAATTAAACACCTCTACTATCAAAGAAGAGGTATGTTATGTATGTAACATTCTCCTTTTGAATTGGTTGATAATTCTATGGCATCTTATGTCATTTCTAGTCAAAGGAAGTATTTAAGTTGTTTAAGAAACATATTTCTGAAATTAAAATTTTTGTCTATCATAAAACAACCACATATTTTAATAGATTAACATTGAGACAAGAAAATAATTGGCTAACATACAGCTATTGAAAAAGAACATTGCATTAAGGGAACTAGAGTGCTTTCAGTTTCAAATGAAAATTATTGCATACTAACTTTTTTCCAAGTTATTGCTTATTTTATATGCAAAAGGGGATGAAAGAGAAATAGGCAAAGAGCTAAGTAAACCAAGGATACCCAAGTTTTGCAATTAAAGTCAAATCTTATCATTTTTAAAGGCCATAAACATTCAATTTAGACACTTTTTAATATTGGTACACCTTCAGGAAGCATTAGTTGTAGCTTTGGTTCAGAATTTCTCTATAAACAAATGATTATCACTTGCTATGTGTGCAGCCTTTCTATAGAAAGCAGCATTTTCATTTCTGGCCAGGGCTTCCAGACATTGCTATAAACACAGCTATAAACTCTTGTTCCCAAAAGAAAATATTATAAATCCAGTCATTCCACAATGCATTTCCTTACCTACTTCTTTCATATAATCATCAAAGTTTTCACTGGAGACAAGTTTCCAGGTACCTACAAAAGCATCACACATTTTGTAAGTTCTAGGATTATTCTTCAAGGTGAGAAGGAAGCTGCAGTTTTCAAGAGAGTGCTGTGACCCTCTGGAGTCCAGATAACTTCCTTTTAAAGGTGCTCAGAACATGTGATCTTAGGAATGACCAATTGGGAATGATAGCCAATCATTTCCTTCATTACCGGCCTGTGCATTTTTTTCTCTGAGTCATGTTTTTAATAGACATTTCTCAACTTTGGTTCTCCCTGGCAAATAGTCATTGGACTTAGAGTACAAATTATTTTTAAACCACTAACAGGATATTTTAAACATTCCTGTTTTGACAGCTTAATGCTCAGTGCACTGAATTTCCCCCTATTATTCCTATACATATTTATCCCAGTGTAGAGAGGGGAAATTATTTTGAGATAAACTTTGACCTTATTTTGGGGGAGGGTATTTAAATTGTAGTTATGTGGTTCTTTTGAATTGAGGAATTGCCATACATATTTTCTATTATTCCTATACATATTTGTCCCAGTGTAGAAAGGGGAATTTATTTTGAGATAAACTTTGACCTTATTTTGGGGGAGAAGGTATTTAAATTGCAGTTATGTGGTTCTTTTGAATTGCGGAACATAAGAACTGCCTCGGAGATTCTTACATAATTGCAAAGGCTCTTTGGGGCAGTACTGTCTCAGGAATTACCTGGCAATGAAAACAAAATAAATAATGGGATTTAAAAGTACTCCAGATTTCTGATTTCAAATGCTTTATATGAATAAAAAAGTACTTTCTATTCATCCACCAGTAATCTGGACTGTAGATTTCATCAAAATGATAATGTAACCTCACTCTTTCCATCTCCTAAATGAGAGCATAGCATTGATTTCCACAGATTCTTTGAAAAATGGGCCTCATTCTAAAATACTTTCCTCATACTGAGAAAGTGCATTCAATTTCTGAACTGTGTCATAAGTTCCGAATTTATTCAGATCAGAAATGGTGTGGTCGCATGCTACCAAAACCAATATCCTTCTTTTATACAGTGACCAATTTGTGAAACTAGTTTTCTAAAGTAATCGTGGTTTTCAATTCCCTTTGCCCCATGCAAGAATGATGGAAGATGTTCGCATGTGCTGCAAATTCCCACGAACTTACCCATATTTAGGGGGAAAAAAAAGAAACTGAAATATTTCAGAGTGATGTATTGCTACACTGTGTATCCCACTGAACAGTACCTGCTGAGCATATGATTGATTCACAAGCCTGTGTAAGTATCCTGAGGGCTTCCCAAAAATGTTTGTGGCAGGAAATTCTGTAAGCAACAGGATTTTCTGTAGGAAAGCAAGTTGCTATGAAAGCCTGATAAAGTTAGGTTTTGCGTTTGTTCATGGCACAGTAATAACGCTCATCTACTCTGGACTGTTGCATAGATACATAGACTGTGGTGATGTGCCATCAGGTAGGCTTGCTTTTAGTGATCCACCTGTTTCCCATTGAATAAGACCGAAGACGCTTCAGGATGCGAAAGTAACTAAAAGTGAACAAATCTTTAAAAAACAACACAAAAAAATAGAAGGGATGTCTTTTGATAATGTTATTAAAATTTAATATTTCATATACAGACAGGTTATTAAATGGATGAATATTAGATACACTACATATTTGGTGTACTTTGCTAACATCATGACAATATATATGGTTACATTAAAAAAACACAAACACAAATTATTTAAAAAAGATGACTAAATTCTATAAAGATTTAGACGTACAATGGTGCCATTTCTTGTTACCTATGTATTACACCTTGAGTAAGCTACCATCCAAGTCTTGGGACTCCTTTAAGTCGGTAACACACACCACAAATTAGCTGTATAATTGCTACCATAAGCGTAAATTATCTTTCCTTCTTTACCTTCTTTCCTTTACTTTTCCTCTTCCTTCCATTCCTTCCTTCCTTTCCATTCCATTCCATTCCTTCCTTCCTGCACTGCCTGACCTTCATCCTTATTTCCTTCTCTTCTTTTCTATTTCTTCCTTTTATATTTGAAATGGAGATTTATGAGACTTTAAATTCGCCAGGCTGGAATGCAGTGGCATGAACTTGGGCATCTCACTGCAACACTCTAGACACTCCCGAGATATAAGCAGAATATCTCCAACCTCAGCCTCTCCTAGTAGCTGGAGAAATTTACACGAAGGGCACCCACCACCATGGCCTGGAACTAATTATCTTTCTTTATATTCAATCTATTTTTCTTTTTGAGACAGAGTCTCGCGAGAAAACTCTGGTCTCCACAGAGCTGATGAGTTGCCAGTCAGGTGCAATCTAAACGAACTCAACATTGAAACTCCATTTGTCCTCCCAGAGATTCACGACCTTTCTCCCTGGCCACAACCTCCTGAGAAGCTGGGACTACAGGCGCTTGCCACCAAAAAAAAAAACAGCCGCCCGCGCTAATTTATATTAATATTATTTTTATTTTTTACTGTATTTTTTAGTAGAGAGACGGAGCGTGTATCACACAGGTAGTTCACACAGGATAAGGATCTCAATCATCTCTCTGACTTTCGTGATACCACCCACCACTTGACCTCCCAATAGCATGGGATTAACACAGGCCAGTGAGCCACGAAAACACGCGCCCCGGACACAATCTCTTCATTTTTCTGTTTTTTATGGTATATTTTAGTTGCGACACGAGCGTTTGCAAACATGTTTGGGCACAGCAGCCTAAGGATCATCACGACACATCCCTGAACCTACAAGAGCATGAATCACCACACTCGAGGCTCCTCAGTTGCTTCAAAAGCTGCTTGGAAACACTTGCATATCGCAAGAATATGCAGGGTGAGCCACCAAAGTGGCCCAGCCCACAAATAG